AGACCCAACACGAAAGTTTTGTTAAAAGATAGTAAAAAAGAAAATGTAGCTCAAAGGAAATCAATACAACTTTGAATTGTAAATAAAGAAGTAGGAGGTATCTTTACTAATCATGTTTATTTCTTTGTAACCTCAGAATGCAGCAATGCCTTTATGTATCGAGATGCAATTTGGCATGTATAACAAGTAATTTAAATTAGTAATTTCAATAATGGGACCAAATATCATTGAAATCAATAATTTTTAAATCTCATACCTACCTAAATATTAGCGGCTGCAGTAAAGGTCTGAGCAAAGAGAGGTAGAGTAGTTGATGAAATTGACAGGACATAATGTTGTAATCATTTAAATTTAAATATATTTCTCATTAAATTTAGAATGTACTCTCTTATTGAATGATAACTTATAACTATTATTAATTAAACATCTAAGTCATATCATTCATATTCTATCTCGTTTAAGATTTTTTTGCTTTCCTTTTGAAGACATCTGGTCATATACTTCGTGTTTTTTTTTATCGCAAAGCACTCCCGACGGTGAGACAATCCTTATTCCTACCTGCACTCAACACCTGTCGCTTGAATTGTGCCGGTTTTTGTAGTTTTATTATTATTATTATAGTAGTGACTTAATGAATCTAATTTTCACAATAATTAAAGGTCTAGAAAATTGCTGAATGCTATACTTAAAATAACGAGCAATGAATTACGTACATTTTATTAAATAGCGATCTTTGTGACTAATTACAGTAAAGACGCTAAAATATATGTATATAAGTACTTGGTATGTATTTAAATATGTCTTAAATGGATCCAATGAGTCTATCAAAAAAATATCTGTGTAAAATCTCTGTCTTATTAAAGATAAAGTAAAGTACATAATAAAACTCTTATTCATCCTTCTATTCATTTAATTTATTTCTACTGAAAAATTAACGCCATAGTAAAGTTTATAAATTATAGCACCTATTAAACCTTTTAAGTATCGTAGTACATAATTACATTATTTAATATCTCAATATATGTAATATTAAATATTTCGAAGCATATATATATATATATATATATATATATATATATATATATATATATATATATATATATATATATATATATATATTGACATAATAGTAGGCTTTAGTTGATAAGTAGTAATATAAAACTTACATAATTCATCTTTCATGAAAGCTCTCCGTAAAAGCTTCTACCATTTATCTTTTAAGATTAGGTGTCATTATTAAAGTATTAAAACACAGAGCAACGGAAATATAATAAAAATCATTGTTATATGGCCCTTACCTGTCAGTAACAGCAAAATTAGTCGCCGCATCTTGGAATCCTATATAATAGTGACTTGAAAGTTATTGGTTCGAAAATCTATGAAGGTGGCAAAGCCATCGTCTCGTCAGATAAACTCGGTCAGGTTAGTGTTTACGCGACTCAGCTGACGTCCTCGTCTTTACGATCGCTAATCAAGCACACACATGCACACTGCGGGACCCGCACGCTGCAGTGTCAACGGCCACAAGCTTACGAGAAAAACTAGACACTCGGCGAAAGCTGTCCTCCCGAAAGAGCGCGATATCACCGTGTACGTTACGGAAATAATTTATTCATTCATCTTTAGAGATATCGCGTCCGAAAGCTAGCTGACAGATAAGTTCTGTGATGAAAACATTACACATGGCTCGAGCGGTATGAAAGCTTCGACGCGCGCGATCACAGCGCACGGTGGCTGACTCGCGAGTTGCGTGAGTGGGCCGGTGGCCCGGGGGCCGGGGGGCCACGCCTGCGCGCCGCGCCCGCACCGCACCACCTACTGTAGTATTGACCGACGACGCCTCCTTTCCACATCGAACATCCTTAACTAGGTACTAAGAATTCTCCTTTGAACATTCCCCTAATTCCTTCCCACCGATCTAGATATACCACGTGTAAATTTTATGCAACTGCTATGAAGCAATTAAAAATTTAATTTAATTACATGTGTTTTTATCATCATGCATTTTAATAGGTTCCTACATGTAAAAAAATGGATTTAATAATAGGTTTCTACAAATTCTTATTTTTATTAAAAGTATTACGCTATATTTTAAATTTAAAGCCCTTACGTCTAAAATTGAAGAGTCTCTATCTGTTTGATCTATACGCATTGAATGTGCTGTAATAAGCAATGAATGTGTGCAGTACACTTTTGCGTAACAATATTTGCACGAGACTCGATGCGGGCCAACTTGGACTAGTGCCTGTGGACTGCGCATCTAATGACATCATCCAACGCCCATCCCTAGTCAACTTGGCCACATAATATGAGACAATCCTTAATCAAAAACATACATAAATAAATACACTCTTTCCCATCCCCAAATGATATTAGTGACCTATTTCCAAAATGAGCTCCAATAATGTTTGCCAATTTTTTGTTAAGAAAATGAAATATACCTATGTAATGAAATAAAACACATAAAGGCTTTAAGAAAAATCAAATAAGTAGGTAGGTACCTAGATGACGTTTTAATAATATTACCAAAATCCATCTGTGCCTTTTAGTAGGTATTCATAACTTAGCAATTAGCATATCTGACTACTGACTAGTTCTCAATAAATATTACAGGTGGCGCGATTTTTTCCGGCTAGTGTTTATTGAAGACATATTTAAATAATTTTGTAACGGAGGACGGTATACCATGCCGTGATGAGCTTCTGGTACATCTCTGATAGCAGAGTGGACACGGTCCACGGGAGCAACCTTTTAGTTGTTATTGTTATGGTCTACCTCATTAGGTCACCGTCGGGGCGTCAAGGCTGAGTTTTTAAGTGATACTGCGACGTCCCATTGAGACGGGGAAGGTTCCGTTGGGTTTTAGTGGTTAGAACTGGTTTTTCTAGCCGTTGAATGCTACCACGTGGTATGCGTAAATGAATTTCACGACCTAATAAAAAAGCCCCAAAGGATGAATTTCACGAAATTCTTAAAGCTACACAATATTAGTTTTTAATAATGATATCATAATATGTATATAGCTATAAATATTTTCAATTTTTCGAGCTTAGATAAGTCATTTCATGATTGTTTGGACGAAAGAAGAAATAAAATTTATATGTAAATTGCACATAACTGCATTACAAAATAATCACATTTACAAGTTCATCAAAAAAAATTAGTATCATATATAGTATAATAATAATATATATATATAGTATAATATAAAAAAGCATACTTTTGTATTTAGTCCTTCATAGCACGCCATATACTTAGTCCACCACGCTGGCTAAGTTTGGCTAGTGTACTTCACATGTCTTACGAAAGCTTGCTAAATTATCTTAGACATTTAGGTTTCCTCACGATGTTTTCCTTCACCGTAACACAAGTGGTAATCATGTTTAAAATGATTGAGAGGTGCGAGACCCGGGATTTGAACCCACTTTTCTCGCTTCACTTCACGCTTCTTAAGCGAGCGCGTTGCCACTGGGCAGCCATGTGCCTTCTCTAAGTATAACACAATGTAAAAAAAATAATGTCAATAAAACAATTTTAAAACAGAGCCATAATAGGTTTTTTTTTAGCGCATTAAAATAAAAGATTTTTCTTAAAATGGTTTGTTTACTATTAATCTAATTGCTTAGTTTACAAGTCATGGTGCAGGTCAGTGGATGCACTATTTGAGACAACTGAATCATAATTGAACGGTTATACAAAATACAGACTTTCAGAACGGGCTACTATTATAATTGAATACATATAACACGATCACATAATACTATACTATACAAAATTGCTGCTATTGACCGATGAGACCTCTTATTTGGAGTCAACCCTGAATGCATCAGTCAAATCATTGATGCACACATAACACATAAGAGTGGGCTATAATAATTGAATGCATAAAAAAATCATGTATGACTGTTAAAAGCGAATCTTAGATGGAAAAAAAATGTCTGAACTGAACCAACACGTAAAATTCATTTCTGTAGGATAAGAGGAAGTGGTTCTACATAATTCAGCTTGCAAGATTTTATCCATACAAAGATACCACCTAACAAACAAATTAAATAAAAGCTTATTTATACTAGCTATGTGGAATCAACACAGTATGTATGTTTCCTCCATTTATCTCTATCAAAAGTTAAATTTTATTTGCAATCCCCTTTTATTAACTTTTATAGTCACTCGCTTTCCATATATTCCTGTACTCTCATACTCATCTCCTTTTTCTGTAGGAATTTACACAAGACATTAGCAAATAACAAAAATAACAGAATCCCGACTGCATAAAAAGCAAACTAAAAAAAATGAGAGTTAACAAAGGAAATAATATAATAAGCAGTCAGAGACAATACACGTATCAAGACTCGCACCTAGTATAAAACATGTATATGTGTCTCCGACTGCATATACTATGTTCTCTTGTTAATTTATTCTCATATTAATATAATATAATCCGAAAAGATAGTGTTATTTAATAATTATTCTCATATTTTTAAGTTTGCTTTTTACACAGTCGAGTTTTTGTATTTTTAAACGGTTTTATTAATTAGTATATTTTTACAGCTTTTTAGTTAGACATTTTATTTTTTAAAAATTACACTAAATTACTTTTGTTTCCTATCGGTGAAAACTTAGCTGATGTATGTATTGTCGTATTTTAGCATTGTATAAGTACCATCACCATTTTAACCTAATAAAAAAAAAAAAAAAATCAAGTTGTATATATTTTTGTAATCATCTTTTAAAAACTTGTATTTTGATACCCCACTCGATTGATTCAGATGAAGAATTTTTTTCAAGACAAATTGGCACCTTAGATCCGCCATTTTGATTTTTAATGATATCTGTATACCCTATGACATACACACAAGTCAAACACATAACCCTCCTTTAGGCTTCACCGAAGTTGAGTAACAAAAAAGAATAAAAAAAGGTTTTTCTACCAGTACTTTATTTATAACAATATTTAATTCCTAATACATAAACTGTAGCAGCTATTTATATCAATATTAAGTCACTATTGATTCATTTTCTAATTTACGTTTTGCCCAAGCCTGAACAAACTGTTTTCTTATTTCAAAGGCTATTACAGCTGCTGCCATTCCCGTATTCAAACTGTCAACTCCCTTTTGTAATGGAATATTGAGCCTTAGGCCACTGTTTTGTGCTGCTAATCTGCAAACAATAACTTATTAATAAAATCGCCTCGTGAAAAACTTTTTGGTCTGTCAGTACAATATAGAGTAAAATTTTCAGATATGTTTTACATTTAATTTATGTTTCTATATTAGATCAGATAAAACATGTTAAAACCAAGCAAATATCATTATCCGTTTACCTATAGCTGTCTCCACTGATTCCCTTAGTTTCTCCACCTATTACAAGTGTAACATGCTTTAAATTTGTAAAATCCACACTATAGTAGGGCATTACTGGAATAGAACTGTTTTGAACTTGCTCAGCTTCATCAAACATATTTGAATTGCTATCTGCTATGAAAATTGATGTATTCTGTTCTAGTAAATTTGGCATTTCTTCCCAATCTACTGAGGTATGTATTGGTTGTCTAAAGTGGGCTCCAGATGCACTTCTTATTACTTTTGGATCCCATAAATCAACACAACCTGTAATTTTAAATTTGTTTACCATAAATTACAGATATACAATATTTTTTTGTTATTCTATACATCTTTATGTTAATTAAAAAAGTATTATTTATACCTTTAGAGAGAATAACTTTCTCGCATCCAACACCCACAGCTGCTCTAAGTATAGCACCTAAATTACCAGGTGTGCGAACATTATCACAAATAAACTGAAGTGGTATAGGCTTAGATAATCTCCTTATATTTTCTGGTGTAGGTATGTCAAATACACCTATGAAAAGTTCAGATAATTAGAATTAGAAATTGTTAGAAGAAAGTACTTATTTATGACAAAATTAATGTTTTTTTACATTACCAAATATTCCAGGTGATGTTTCTACATCAGACCACAATTCTATATCTTTATATGGTATCTTATAGAATTTAACACCAGTTTTAGGGAGAAAAGGTCTCAAGTTATTTAAATCTTCTGGTCTACTAAATATTACATATTTCAAGGCACAATTAGCTTCCAATCCATCAATAATTAATCTCCAACCTTCTACAAGCATTTGCTCAGAACGTATTCGTTCCTTTTTTGACTTAAGCTTTACAAGAAGTGAGCTAAAACGAAAAATATTTATTTTAAATTCACATTCTATTTATTCTATATCAAATTATCAAAGGTTGCTCTTGCGAATAGCTATACCTGATTCTGCCATCATTTTCTTTTAATTTTTCGTAAATAATTTCACCGTTATCATCAAAAACCTTCTTTTGACTCAAGTAGAACTTGCGTTGTTTCAGTTTTATTGCTTTGTTTTCTTTAATTTCCTTGTTTTCTTTAATTTCTTTGTTTTCTTTAATTTCTTTTGAACTTTCTTCTTTAGATAAAGTAAACTTTTCTTGCATAGACCCCAATTTACGATTTTTAACATTGTTATCAGATGACAAATCGATTATTTTTTCTTCTTTTAAGCTCACATTGGAATCAGGTTCAAAAGGTAATAGAACCTTGGCAGGTTTTCTATGCATCCACCCTCGATATAACCTAACAGACGATATTCGAGCATGCTGAATTAATGCATGAGACAAACGATAAATATTTGTATTCATCTTAAAAATATATTCGATTATATAAACTCTAACATTACTTTATGTTTTTATAGTATTAAGCTATAATATTCAAAAACTCAATACCGTTAAGACTAGGATATTCATAGAAGAATACCTATTAAACAGTAAATAGTAATAAGCTGTAAACAGATTTTGATTGTTGACAAATGACAATTGACAACCGTTAACCGTCATACTTATATCCACAGATTAAGAAGACCGAAGATTAATATCACAGACTATCTAGAGATATACAATATTCTCTCTGCAGAGGTAAAACAAGAAAGCATTCCAAAACATTGGTATATTTTAACACAGACAGATCTAAAAACGACTCATTGAATTCAAGCAATTCAGTTATATTATAATACAAATGTACGTGTATGTAATATCATAGAAATTATTAAAGCAAAAAAATGATTAATTTTTTAATTTTAAATCATAAATTTAAAAAAATTGACCAAACTATGTATATATATACACATATATCTTCCATAAAAATACACCCAAACACATATTCTTCAAAAATATTTTTATTTTTATACTGTGATAAATGATAATATTTTTGATAACTGGAAAATAACTAGCCATCGACCAATTAAAACGTGGTACGAAATTACTCTTGTTAGCTATACGTCTATAACTCTGTGGTCATCAGCTGAAATTTATCGTGTTTATGCGTAATAGTTGTGTTTATTTTTATATCATTAGAAAAAGGTTGACAAAATGGCAACAGGGGTGAAACCTCGTGATGAAGACTCGTCTCTTACCAGGGCTGATTTAGAGGCAATTCAAGACGCAATGAAGAGCAAGAAATTTCGAGATCTACTCACCGAGTACTGTGATGAAGTTCGTGACCCGGCAAATCAAGCAATCTATCAGAAAGAAATGACCCAACTAGAGAAGGAACGTGGCTACGATGTTACTTACATTAACCCGAAAGGAAGTTATGTTATTAAAACAAGCGTCGCGGGCGATAGAAAAGCTTTTATCAACATTTGCAGTAATGATAACGTGGATAAACCATCATGTAATGTCCAAGAACAGAATGGACAAAAAGGAATGAACTGGCAACTTCCGTATACAATTATACCACCCAGAGAAGACTTTGATAAAAAGAAAGAAAGATGCGTAATTTATGATGTTGTTTTCCACCCCGATACATTGCGCATGGCAGAGGTTAATAAGCGTTTTCGAGAGTTGGTAAACAAAACTGCTTTAAATGGATTAGAAAAAACTTATAATATTCAGTTTGATACAAATAACTACCGCTTCCCTAAATCAAACTACAAAGGCATGACAGTACCTGCTGTTATTAGAAAAGAAGATCCAAACTTTAAGTCATTAAGTGATGATGAGACAGAAGAAATCTCATCAGAGATTCTCGAAAAATTATATCCACAACATATATATCCAGATACTAATAAATCTACAGAAAATAATTGTCTAAAAGAAGAACAACACAGAAAAAAAGCAAAAAATAGTAAAAAACAGTTTGCTCATTCGTCTGATGATGTATACACTATACCTAAATATACAATAAAACAACAGAAAAATCTAGATCTTCAAGATTTTACTTATGATAAGCATAGCAAACAGTATTCTACAATCCCAACTTATATCACTGTTGAAATTAATTTACCACTACTATCGTCAACTAAAGACTGTGTTTTAGATGTACGGGACAAAAATCTCTTGCTGGTTTCTGAAAAACCAGCAAAATATAAACTGAACCTTATATTACCTTATGCGGTTGATGAAGAGAGTGGAAATGCTACATTTGATTTGTCAAAACATCTATTAATTGTGAAATTGCCTGTTCTTAGAAAAACATCACCTAGTGACAAAACTGTCTCACTAAAGGGAGACAGTGGGGTTGAAAGTGGAGAAAATTCTAACAGTGAAGAAGAATCTAAGGGTAAGTTAGTAGAAGAAATAACTCCAGCTTTAGAAGGATTCAAATTATTAAATGTTGAAGAAAATAAACAGTATTCTATGTTTAATGAAGATTTTTTGCTTCCCACCATTGGGTACACTTTTCCTTCATATACATATAATGCATTGGATGAAATAGTAGCATTCACTTTTCATGTTAAAAACACTGATCCTGATTCTATCAAAGTCAAGAATGATGGAAATAAAGTACTCATTAAATTCTCCTCTGTTGGAGCGGGCTTTGTGCCTGTACATTATGCTGCTTTAATTACATTTGACCATGGAGTTAAATTTGATAATGCTACTGGTGAAGCTTGGGATAATAATGTAATACTACAGCTGGAAATAGCTGGGGATATCTGTCCCGACAAATTTCTGATAGGGTTAAATGAGCATGACATGAAAAGAGAATATTTTGATGTAACTTTATCAAAAAAATCTTCTAAAGATGACAATTTACTAGACGATAGACCTAGTGCCAAGGAATCTTCTTCACCATCAGTTGAAGTAACTAACTTTGGTAGGGAAACAAATATAGTTGTGTCTTCAAAAATCCATAACGATGAAACACAAGATGAGGATGAGAATGAAATAGAAAGACCTATTGTTTGGATAGAATCCAACACTGTGGAAAATGGAGCTAAGAGTATTCTACGTAAACCTATTTCAATGATGCGAAGTTTTTCCGAGTCAAGTACTGGAGATGTTGCTTCATCTATGGACTACATTAGCTCTGATTGCATTCCAGAAGAATCCAGTTTGAAGAAGACAGTTCGGTTTAGTAATGTCATTGCAAAACAATTTTATAGGTACGAAAGCTTTTTAAACATTGTTTATGACTAAATCTATTCATTTAATTTATATATTTTAGTTTAATTCACTTCTATATATTATTACAGGTATAATTCATCAATAGAAGGCCAGAAAAAAAAGAATCAAAGGAAAAAAAGTAAAAAGCGTAATCTAGAAAGGCGCAAGAGCGAGAGTGAGGCTGAAGATGATGTTACAAATTCAATCCAGGTACCTAAGCTTTATTTATATTACTATATTTTTAAATTATAGAATAAAAAACAATACCTTGTGGGAGGTTTAGGCTACTGTGGCCTATTTCATGAGTTAATTTAATCTGCGTTGGAGATAACATAGAACTATATGTATGTACGAGCTAACACAAGGGCACTCTAGTCCAGTGGGGTGATTAATGATTATTTGACATAGGCATTGTATGTGGGTGTAAAACTGCCAACTTCTCAAATTGCTACTGAAAATTTCTTGATATAAGACACCAAACTTATATTATAAATAAAACTATCTTTTCGGATTATTTCGCGGATATATTATTACATAATATGATTTATTGCTGTAAAGCATTCGAAACGTCGAGAACCGAAAATCAAAATAAATTCGTGAAAAAATCCGAAAAGATAGTTTTATTTAAAATAACAAATATTCGCGTAAATCTAAAAAAATATTAAACAAACTTATACTTGGGCCAACCAAGGATTCGAACCCAGGACCTCAGTATCTGAATCTTTTCATGCTACCTACTAGGCAGTTGTTCTGTATTTAATGTCAGTAAAAATGTATCTTTCACACATGGAAGACATATTTAAGTATTTCTTTTTGGAATATTATATTTATATGCAAACAAAAAAAATTACCTTTTCAATTTTATAGATCTTTATTATGTAGGTACTTCAAAATTAGTGTCACGTTATCATTATATTTATGACTAGGAATAAAAAATACAGATAATTATACTATAACATATTATGATAATATTGAAACATTGCATTTTAGCACAAAAATAATATTATGTTCTTCAAAAAAATTAAGTGACAAAAACAAAAAAGCAATGGAAATTAATATGAAAAATCATCTATTATGTCTTTGGAATGCTTTTTATCGGCAGATGTTTAAACTCACACTTAGATGTGTTATATTTGCTGTTTGAATATATACACCCATTTTTGTTGTTATCAACATCCTATGATTAAAACTTGCATTTAAGGGAGACTAAATTGTGTGACAAGGCCTTTAGATAAACTTTATTAAATAATATTGTTTATAGATAAACTTGGAAAAATAACAAATTTAACAAATAAAAAGTTGAATATTTAGTTCTGTAACATTATTACATACATTAGTGATATAACTTTATAAAAATATGTTTAAAATATTAGATAGACGTTTTAAGCACATTTATAAAATAATTTCGACTTTTACAGGCATCAAAATCCAGAACAAAGCTGGCCCTTAAGCAAAGACATGATAGTGGAGTTGTAGATACATCAGATGCAGAGGAGTTTAAGAATACGATGTCGGATTGCGACCTACAATATGATACTGATGAAAATGCTAATATAAATGAACCTAATACAAAAGAGGACTCGTTCAATTTAATGGATAGTAATGGCAACACAAGAGAGAAAAAACCTCTTTGGAAATCAGGTGCTTTACATCCAGAGAACCCTGATTACAAAGAAGAAAGGCACAAAACAACATCCTACAATATAAAACATAACACCGATCTTTACAATCCTGATAAATTAAATAAAGGTCAATATTTAGAAGTGAAATTCAAGAATGATCTCATATTTGATCTTGATATGTGAGATTTGCCATTTACATTTAAATTTTTATGAGAAAATCGTTTTAGTAATATTTTCTTGGAGTAATAGTATTGTTTAGGTTTTAGCTGCTTACCAGTGATTTGGTTAGGATTAATATGCGTGTGTGCACCTCTGTTTTCTTAAAACTTTCCATTATTTAATTATGTTCCTTAGTAAAAGTAAGATTTGTAACAATGCAAGTTTACGGCAGTAGTCCATATTATTGTGTGTAAGTCAATTAATTGTTTTAAATATATTTTAGTGTCACATTTATAGTAATGAGATTTTATATTTCGATTTTCAATTAAAACTATAAATTTCAATATTTTATGCTCATATTAGACAATACATTAAGTGTGTAGTGAACTCTAATGGTACAAATTAGACGTAGGTATAAACAGTTAAGTCTGACACAATAAAATTGATGATAGTAAATAATGCACGTTTTTACACAATTTTAACATACCTACTTTAATTGAAATGTAATTAATTTACACATTAACGTTCGATAAATAAAAAACAATTCCGCAAATAAAATAAAAACGTTAACTAAACACTGAAATTACTATTAATTTCGAAACTTTAATTATTGTCCTTTTTTCATATTGCAAGTTTTTTTTTTCTTTTATTTCATATTTATTTAATTAATAGTTTTTTTTTTAAATAAAATTTTCAAGAGAATATGAGCTGTATACTTCAGTGCCTTTGAATATAAGGAGCAGAGAAATATCTTAACTGCCATAAACCTTGCATTTACTTATTTTCCTTAGTTTGTATGAAGTGAGTGTTTAGGTAATATAGTTGTTATGAAAATCGAAAGTTTAACAGTAAAATATTGTGATGTTTCGAATAATAATTTAATAGAATAATGAAATTAAATTGTATTTTATTCATTTATCCCAAAAATATGTGTAACAATTCATCCAAGCAAGACCAGTGCTTAGAAAATTGGATTATTTAGGGGAGGAAAAATTACTAATAAAAATTGTGTTATTGAAATCCATTTATAAAGCTTGGGTTTGTTTTTAAAGCATTCGTCTATTAACATGCTACGCTATCAATATAATCAGCTTGAATAAACCAAAAATTGCAATTATGGAACTAAAGCGCCACTTATTTCCGGCTCCATTATTGGATATATTATTAATACTATTCCCTACTATCCTCAATAAAAAAATTATTATAAAAATAAAAACCCAACTACTTAAAAGCTATCTCAAAATTAGTATATATTTACAGCTTTTTAGTTTTTGCCAATTAGACATTTGAGGTTATATTTAGCAATTTTTTATTCTATATTACTTTAAAACAAAATATAAGTTGTATATATTTTTGTGATCGCCTCTTAAAAACCCTTAAAAACCTTTATTTTGATATCCCACTCGATTGATTTGGAAGAATTTTTTTAAATACATAAATGGTAAAAAAATTTGCCTTTTTCTCCCGCCAGATGTCGCGAAAGCAATGCAAAGCTCTATAGCAGGGATGTTTTTTTTTTTCATTTTATTTAAAATTTAATTCAAATGACTAATTGTACAGTGCCAGGATGCAAAGAAAATGGATATCATTTGTTCCCAAAAGACAAAAAACTGAAGAAATTGTGGGCTAAAGCAATAAGAACGACGAAAATTAGCGAAATGACAATCTTAAATCTTTATATTTAAGGCTATGTGGACACCATTTTTTTTCCACAGACAGCGATTTTAAAACTATCAAATCGTTTACAGGTAAATAATTTTCTTTTTCTTTTTTTGTACTTTTTTACATTTAATTACAGAGTTTTATACAAACTTTCATCCCCTATTTTACCCATTTAGGAGATGAATTTCGAAAAATCCTTTCGTATCTGATGCCCACATTATATAAGGAATACGTCCTCCAAATTAGATTAAGGTTGTGTGTTGATGCATCAGTCGGTCAGGACCACCACAGGATGCACCTCTCCTCCTCATTTCTTCCTTCAGCTGATCTAACTTCCAGGTACAATATATTGCACAGGTGAGATGCGTACACAATCGAAGCAAAAACTAGGTACAAAATAGATAGGTATCATAATATATTACTTAACCTCAGACTGAATGTAAATAAATCATACGTGTAGCACCCTTCTTTCAATAAAATCTTTCTCATTGGCGCCAGAAATCTTCCATTTTAATTTTTAACTGTTTTTATATAGCTTATGGAACTCGCGTTATCAAAACAAATCTAACGACGCGACGCATGAATCATCAAAATCGCCCCACGCCCACGGTCTCTAGTACGCCATATAGGAACAAACACAAAAATACATACATATACATACCTACATATTATATAGATTGATAAACACATTATGCGTCGCGCAGTCGGGTAAAAAGACGCTGCTAAGTATTATTTTGATAAGTTTAATGTAAAAACCTAATACGACGTGTTAATTTATCTTGTAAATTTAAATATGGGTTAATGGAATTTAAAGATTTTTATAATACAACTAGCGGCTTACCCTCGCTTTGGTCGGGTTCGCCTCTAGGAAAACAAAAAATTTGCCGGGATAAAAAATAACCTGTGTTATTCCAAACTATAATCTATCTCTGTGCCAAATTTCATCCAGATCCGTTCAGCCGTTCTGGCGTGAAAGAGTAACAAACATTCATACTCACAAACTTTCATATTTATCATATTAATAACTAGCAATGCCCGCGGCTCCGCCCGCGTTCAGGTGACCAAAAACCAAATTCTTAGGTTTTACATATTAGTATATTCTTATAGAGTAAGATCCCGGTGCCCCCAGACGTTACTTATTTTCTCATAAGAAATATAAATGGGATAAAGTAGTGTTAGTACGTACTTTGTGTGTGTGCATACCTGCTACCTTGGGTCGACGGCCAATTCATAGGTACCAGGTGCTAAAGGTAGATAAATACAGTACTGATTTTTCTTAAATTCTCAGTGCTGATTTTTACATATGTTTTAGATATTAATGTTAAAAATTAATAATCATTATTGCCAGACACTTTCCATCGGCGCTTACCCTTACCAGACGCTTTAAAGCTTCAAAAAAAATAACATATTCTTACTTATAATCTCACTCTTGATTTTTATGTATGATACTTGGGGAACTATTTGAACACCCCTGGTCAGCAGCCAGACCAATTGGAGAGGTCAAACATCCCCCCAGACACACATAAAGTGTCGCTATGTGTATAAGCGCGAGGTCATTATTTGTACGCTTGAGTATGAGAGAGATATCTATTTATGGATATCTTTCTTATACTTATTGACGTCTCTAGGCTACTCTATTCAGTGCTACTTGATTCAGTGCATCTGTCATTTTATTTACAACGTGTTGAAATAAAAAAAAATATTTATAGTATTCTAAAAAATATAATGGCAGAATTATTAAAGTGTGTGTTTTGTGAGAATTCCGATGTGAATTTAATATTGTTTACGGAAGAAACGTTGAAAAAGTGTCAAACAATATTAAAACATAGAAAGGAACATAACCTAAAATTCAAAAATATTGTTTTGCCAGCTGATTTATATGAAAGTGGTTATCATAGACAATGTTACAAATCGTTCACAGGTTTGATGAATAAATATTATTCTTCAAATGCTACAAGTACAGAAAAATCTACTCCAAAAGAAAAATCTACTCCAAAAGAAAAATCAATAAATATTGCAGAAAATTCATCAGCAGCATGTTCATCGACATCTGAATTAGATACACAATGTATTGAGGTACAATCATCTATTCCACAAATTTCGAGTCTATCAACTTCTTCTGTACGTGACACTATTATAATACCTGAGCCAGCTACTATACCTGAGTTAGTCGAACCAGTTCCATCCAATTTACCTGAAAATAATTTACAGCTAGAAAACATTGATCAATAACTGGTTGTGATTACAATCCAGCTTTTTTTAGAAAAGGCAAGCAAAGGCCATTTAATGTATTGAAAAAAAAGTAGAGTACCAGATAGCATTTATGAAACTCGGCGATGTAGACTTATTCAGTGACTTAGAACTGGAGCAAAATGTGTTCAACACTACAAAAATTTATTTGTGAACTGTACAACGTGGCCGGAATAATTGACGTAGATGCTGCCCGACTCCAACTCTTCATCAACACTTATATGGTTTGTGACGTAAATGAAGAGTTCAATCGTAAAAATGTGAAAAACTTTGATGCTAGTAACTTACCACCATGCAAAAGTGAGCTTTCACAGCAGTTTCGACGAGCTAATTATATCACTAGTCTCTGGAAGAATGCTCATATGAAGAAAATTAGTATTTTTAGTCCTGACAATAATGGGTGGACGTTGAAAGATAATAAATATCATTTTAACTGGTTCGATGGGGACCAATTGCCGAGCTTTGTCATTGAATCGCTTCAAGAAGAATCAGGTATTATACTTTAAATTTGAATAATTGATATAACCGTATAACTCTTTGATTCTTAATTATGTTATTTTTGTTACAGAAAATGAAAGTAATATGGATGATAATGAAGATAGTCAATGCCAACATTGGGTTGATAATGACTTATCAAACTTAGACGATGATGGCAGTAAAGATCACGCTGAATGTTCAAACTACAAATAATCCGAAAGAAGAAAGACATGTATAGCTTTGTATAATTTTAAGATTTAATAAACATGAATTTTTTAAATAGTAGTATTCAATTTAACTCGATGATAAGATGTAAAACATAGGTTAAAGAAACTTATATTTATTATTTATAAAATTTTCTCCACCCAGATCACTTTAAAATACCTTGTAATCTTCAGGTTCGATTCCATTTTGTATGTAACGAATCTTTAATCTCTCTTGATTATATCGAACAGAGCAGAATTTTAGCGACACTTTATGTGTGTCTGGGGGGATGTTTGACCCCTCCAATCGGTCTGGCTGCTGACCAGGGGTGTTCAAATAGTTCCCCAAGTATCATACATAAAAATCAAGAGTGAGATTATAAGTAAGAATATGTTATTTTTTTTGAAGCTTTAAAGCGTCTGGTAAGGGTAAGCGCCGATGGAAAGTGTCTGGCAATAATGATTATTAATTTTTAACATTAATATCTAAAACATATGTAAAAATCAGCACTGAGAATTTAAGAAAAATCAGTACTGTATTTATCTACCTTTAGCACCTGGTACCTATGAATTGGCCGTCGACCCAAGGTAGCAGGTATGCACACACTCAAAGTACGTACTAACACTACTTTATCCCATTTATATTTCTTATGAGAAAATAAGTAACGTCTGGGGGCACCGGGATCTTGGACTATTACGTTGTAGTTTTTGTATTTTTTCTCAGAAATGAGACATTTTCCCGCAGTAAAAAGTATCCTATATGTTGACCTGGATAACCAGCTATCACCACATCAAATTTCATCAAAATCCCTCCAGTAGTTTTTCTGTGATACGGTAACAGACAGACAGACAAAAATTCTAAGAACTATAGATTCGGCCTCTGTATTAAGAGTAATGTTTATTTCAATAAGATTTTCCAAAAAATATTTAATGTACAGATTCGGTTTAGTTACAATTTTATTTTATGTATAGATATGGATAATACGGATGAATTACATTCATGTGCAAACTTAACACAGGATGATTACACTACACTGGTTGTTGTTATTTTTCCAATACAGTAAGCAATGAAACAATTTGAACAATTTTTATCCGTAATCCTACAGAATTAGCCATTTTATTCCGGGGATTAGAATTTTACATATTGACTAGTTTTTTTAATAGTAATAGCTCTATCTTATTTAAAACTATGTACATACTTTCTGCATAGTATAAATAGATTTTTAATCACTTAAACTGCGGAAGCATTTATTTTCAGGATCTCAAAAGTAGGTTATAAATATGCCACTTCCTAATAAATTCTCCATACCTGTGACAAACTTCCCTGTAATTAATATTTTTTATTTTATATTGAAATATAAATCAAACTATTCATCTAGAGCAAAAGTTCCGCATGCAACCCTATTTTCAATTTTATTACGTTCAAATAAAAATAAATAATTTTGAATAATGGACATTAGGTATATATCGGAAATTTCCTCCTTTTTTATTTTTTATTTCAGGATATTTCTTTTTAACTTCTCTACAAAATTAATAGATTTCAAATGATTGTTAACACGAAACATCTCTGAATCTTTAAAATAATAGCTTTTGCAATTGAAAGTTTTGCGCGTTTTTTAAGATTATGAACCTAATGAGAGTAATATGTACAATGTAGCACACGCACAATTCAAACGTTCTTTAACTTGTGAATTTTAATTTTGAGAATTAAAAATTATTTTCTCAGGCATACTTGAATATTTGACATTGTAATAAAACCTTTTTGGCGGAATATTTCTGCGTTTTTTTGGCACGTTTGGAAAAATATATGAGAGAAAACTTTTACGATGCGCGCCCACAGCGAGAGCTAAAAAGCTACATGTTGAAGTTAGCTGTATTCCTTTTACAAACAGAGAGATGTGACATACGGGATGAAATCTTTAGCTATCTTTGTTCTGTTACGCCAAAGAAGTATAACTTCTTACTTGCGTACATAAGTACACACATTTTTTTATATCTGACATATTATGTATGTATCTGTGATGATTTTATTACTAAATTATTGTTTTGTATTAACCAAACAAAATACCTAAGTAAGAAAATAATACAAAATTTGGTGCTACGGAACTATCGGCGCGCGAGTGAGAGTCGCATTTACCCAAGTTTTATATTTAAAGGAAATCAAAATAAATATCAGAGTAAAAATTAACAAATATTTTCTAAATATTGGCGACACGTTTGGCTCTGTTTGTAGTGACCCTACTTGTTGTGCCAGCGGTCGCGGGTTCGAGTCCCGTTGGGGACATTCATTTGTGTGTTGAACACAAATGTTTGTACTCTAGTCATGGGTGTTTATATTTATAATATGTATGTATTTTAAGTTATATATGTAGTACATCAACTATCTGGTATCCATAACACAGGCCTCATAGCTTACCATGGAACTAGATGGTGCTGTGTGTTAATGTCCCAACATATTAAAAAAAACTGTTTTCGGCCAACAGAATATGACTCATATACACTGATATAAAAAGCTCAAGAACTTCTTTTAAAAAAATGCGCTTTGTTCTGAAACTATCAGCCCGTATTTTGAAAAATCATTTTTTGGTATGGATCCTGGAGAAAGGTTATAAACTATCTAACACCTCGCTACAGTTGAAGGAATGACACATAAATAACACGCTGGTGAAGTAGCGGACAACACTAGTATTACATGAACATTTAATATTTATAGAAATAGTTGTTTTTTCAGATCGGATTTGAAGTATTTGATAGTAAAAGTTTTACACAATATAAAACCGGCCAAGTGCGAGTCGGACTCGCGCACGAAGGGTTCCGTTCCATTATCTATAAAAACGGCAAAAAAATCATGTCTGTTGTATGGGAACATCGTTAACTATTTATTTTATTCTGTTTTTTAATATTTGTTGTTATAGCGGAAATATATCATCTGTGAAAATTTCTACTGTCTACATATCATGGTTTATGAGATACAACCTGGTGACAGAACGGACAGACAGACAGACGGACGGACAGCGGATTCTTAGTAATAGGGTCCCGTTTTACCCTTTGGGTACGGAACCCTAAAAATGAACTGAAGACACCTATATACATAATCAGAATTTTCTAAAACGGCTAGACGAATTTGGATGTAACACATAGATGGACTTAATCTAACCTCTAGGTCCTATAGTAACATGGCTGCTGTTAGGCACCCAGGGGTAGTAGTAGGTACACATTGAGTGAAGAGAGGATAAGTACTAGTTACATTAATAAATTATTGTATTAATCAATTATATATTCAATTTGATTTTAATTTTCTTAAATTGCAAAATATTACACTTTATAAAACTATAATTAATACGTCTCTTTTGATGAATTCTGAAACAAATTTGTTAATAGCGAGCAATAGACTATAATACTATAAAATTCAAAAGATTTTCTACAATTGCAGTAGTTATAAAAAAGTGAAAAGGAATCCTCTACCCAATGTTAACTGTTGAGGCAAACAATAATTACAGGCTTCGCAGAAAATAGCATTTACTGACTGTAAAGTTATTATGGAACTTTTACATCTTCTTTAAGTTGTCCAATTATTATTTTTCTCATCTATACATATAGTAAAATTGTAACAAAGCCGAATCTGTACATTAAATATTTTTTGGAAAATCTTATTGAAATAAACATTATTATCGATACATAGGCCGAAACTATAGTTTTTAGAATTTTTGTCTGTCTGTCTGTTACCGCATCACAGAAAAATCACTGGAGGGATTTTGATGAAAATTGGTATGGTGATATCTGGTTATCCGGGTTAACATATAGATATTTTTTACCGCGGGAAAATGTCTCATTTCTGAGAAAAAATAAAAAAACTGCAATGTGAGAGTATACTAATATGTAAAAAAAAATATAAAGTAGAAATATGATTCTTGTCCTGTTCTTATTTACGTAGCGAAAAATGTTGCTTTATCGACGTAATAAAGCCTTAGCATTTTTCTGAAAAGTTTCTATATGTTGTGAAAAGCTTAAGAAGCACATTGATATTATTTTAAAATATTTAATCCCTACGGCTTACTAATATTAAAAATCTGAAAGTACTTTCGTTTTTCTGTTACGCGCCAACGAAGCCATATTTTTTTATATATACCTATAGCTTCTAGCTTTTATAGTTTAATAACAGCTGCTAACGAATTTCCGTTATATATTAAAAAAGTTACTTATTGAGCTGACCTGTCATTAGGCAACATATTACTTGTACTTATGATAGTAAAAATCATTAGTATTGGCCAAAGCGTAAAACTTAGGCAAGTCCTTGAT